AATCCACTACCTTAAAAGAGCTCTAATTTACAGACAGAAATGTCAAAAATCTTACAACTATCCCTGGTCTCCCCTATCTGTGGTGCTACCATGTTTTTCAGTCATCTCTGGCTAGCCCTGGGATGTTTTTATCAAACTTCAACTCAAAATGTGTGCTAACCAGTCTGGTGTTACATTAACCCTTTCACACACAGTGCTCACTACAGTAGACAGGTATTTATAGGTGGTTTTCTTGTATTTGTGTCAGTGTTGATGGTATACTAGCACATAAATCACTACACACTGATGTGTCACTCCATAACCTGCCACCCACTGGTCAGCCAGCGGACTAAGTGTACATGTAAAAAAACCTCTTTGAAAAGTAAATAAAAAAAATTAAGCTCAAAATTTTTTTTTCATGCCTAAAGATGAATAAAAATACTTAAGAAAAAAAAATCCTGATTGAGGGTGTCATAATTCATGCAGGACAGGTTTAAATGGTGGTTCTAGGTAGAAGTTGACTTTTTTCCTTTTGACACCCAAAAATTCAATATTTGCTAAATAAGCCCATTTAAACAAAAGTCATGAAAAATAACATAATGTGGTTTTAATTTAACAGAGTTACAGAATTATTAAAATGCCAAGGAGGTCAAAACGACACCCTTGGCAGAAAAATAGCTGGCTGACAAGGAACAGGACCATTTTAGCCTGATAGGCCAGAGTTAGTTAAACCACATCTGAAGAGCAGATCCTCGGAGGACACACATATCATAACATTGTAGACCTGGTCTGCTAAATCTACCGTGGGACCAACGTCTAAGAAGCAGCTTATCTAAAAGCAGGCCTCCACACTGTCACCCATGGCCCCTTCCCTCTGGGCCACAGGCCAAATAATGAGGAAATTTATGACCACCCCTGAAGTTTATTAGCTTTGTTTCCGTGGCAACTTGAATGTCCTAAGGCACATGAGCCCCTGTTGGTGGGAAACAGCTCATCCCCTCCACATGGCCTAAGTAAATACAAGACCTGGAGAGGATAACATCCAATGCATGGGTGACCAGAAGGTACAGAGGCCTCACTAAAGAATTTTGCAGGTTGAAAATTCAATTCATCTCTCAAAAATGTATTGTAAATGAAGTCTATGTTGTTGAGCTGACAGACGAGGGGTTATTCACAATGCTCACAGGTTATATTTAGATTTGATTTGATAACTTTTGTAGTTTAGTAATTGTTTTTTTTCTTGTGCAGCTTTCATGAGTTCTTGGAGGTTAAAAAAGGTAATTTGACCCATTCTTATATAGTCCTTTTCTACTCTCCCAGAGCACTCAGTGTTTTAGACAACATGCACTTTTTCTCTCTACGTAATATTCACACACACTCATACACTGATGGATGCTTTGGAGAGCAATTTAGGGTTAGTAATTTGCTCAAGGATATTTGGCCTGCAGACTGGAGCAACCAACAACCAGTCAGCAGTGCTTGTCCAGTGCCTAAGCTGTACAAGCACTCAAGAACACATGCAAACAACAGAAATACACTCACTGGCCACTTTGTTAGCGACACTATTTAATTAAATTGAAAGCCTTTATTGTCATTATACATAGTATAACGAGATTAGACACAGCTCTAGAAAAGTGCATGCGTACATTATAAAGACTATACAATAATTTAACTATACACTTAATATAAATATAAATACACAGTACAGTACTGGATGACAGAGACAGACAGGCAGAGAACTGATTGTATTTCAGCGCAGATTACTTTTTGTGCAAGCACCCTTAGGATGTGTAGCCGCTGCTGGGCCATCTTGACTAGCGCCGTGGTGTTAGTTGACCAGGAGAGGTCTGCAGAGATGTGGACGCCAAGGAATTTGAAGGACTCCACTCGCTCTACACTTTCTCCGTTGATGTGCAGGGGGGCAGAGGCAGTTCTGTTCTGCCTGAAGTCCAGGATGAGTTCCTTGGTCTTGGTGATGTTAAGTGTCAGGTTGTTTGATGCACACCATTTTCCCAGTTTCAGGACTGAGAGTGTGAGGGGAAGAGAGGTGAGGGCCGAGCTTCACCCGCTGGGGTCTGTTGACCAAGAAGTCCTTTATCCAAGAGCAGGTGGGTGGTGGGAGCCCCAGGTTGACTATCTCGGTGATCAAAATGTCCGGTATTATTGTGTTAAAGGCAGAGCTGAAGTCAATGAAGAGCATTCTGACATCGCTCCCGTGTTGTTCCAGGTGGCTCAGTGCTGTGTGGAGTGCAATGGCTATGGCGTCTTCAGTGGATCTGTATGTGAATTGGTGTGGGTCCAGAGTGGGGGGGAGACAGGTTCTGATGTGCCCCAGAACCAGTTTCTCAAAGCACTTGGTGATGACAGGGGTTAGTGCAATTGGGCGGAAGTAACTGAGACTGGTTATGGGCGACTTTTTGGGGATGGGAACGATTATGGTAGATTTCAGGCAGGGTGGGATGACGGCTTGTTCCATAGACAGGCTGAAGATGTCAGTGAAGACCTGTGCTAGCTGCTTGGCACATGCTTTGAGGACCTTCCCAGGTACTCCATCGGGACCTGCAGACTTCCTGGGGTTCACGCCTCACATCCTGTGCCTCGAGAGTGAGTGGGGGGTTGCTAGAGGCTGGTGTGGGTTGCGGTGGTCGTTGGGGTGGTGTGGCTGGGTGCTGTGTTTTAGACTCAAAACGGGCAATGTGTTCAGCTCCTCTGCTAGCCCCGCGTCTGAGTCCCCAGGTGTCACAGAATATCCTTTGTAGTTGGTAATGGTCTGTATGCCCTGTCACACCTGTCTGGGGTCGTCGAGATGTTCCTCTATTCTCCTCTTGTATTCTGCCTTGGTGGTCCTGATGCCCCTCCTTAGGTTGGCTCGAGTGGTGCTGTACAATGCTCTGTCACCGGACCTGAAGGCTGTATCACAAGCCTGGAGGACCATATGGACCTGGCTCGTCATCCAGGGTTTCTGGTTTGGGGATACCCGGATGTAGAAGGCATCCCACTGTGTGTGTTCAAAGCAGTCCTGCAATCGGGGGAGGGTGACCTCAGGCCAGGTGGTGATGGTCCTCTTTATGGGCTTTGTTTGCCAGCTAAGGGGGTGTATGCTATATGCTAGTTCAACATGCTGGAAACATGTCGCAGAATTCTGTTCCATGACATGACATCGTGGCTTTGCTGCACATCCATGATGAAAATCTCCCTTTCCACCAAATCTGAATGTTGGACTGAGTTCTGGTGAGTGTGGAGGCACTCTGAGTTCAGTGAATCTTCAACCAGGACCATCACCTGTGGTGGAACCAGCTCCCAGTGTCAGTTCAGGAAGCAGGCACCAAAGCATCAGCATCAAACTTTTGTTTTTCATACTGCAAGCTTGAGTCTTCGGCAATGTTGTCGATCTGCTGTGATCTGCTGGAGCCATTCGCCTTGCTTGGGAGTCACTGCACCAAGCGCTCCGATTGCCACCACTGTTACCTTCATCCTCCACATCTTCTAGAGCCCTTGGTATTTCTCCAGCCTCTCGTGTTACTACTTCCTGATGTTGCCGTCATTCAGTATTGCTACATCTATCACTACGGCCGTCTTCTTC